CATGCAACGTCATTATCAGATAATTCTTGACAACTTGAGGTAATTTTTTGAACAGCAACATAAGTGGTAGGAAGAGAGATATCTGGGTATGCAATCTTATATTGATATCAGTTTAAGTTCAATGAGATCCTATGTCGATGAACAAAGTCTGGAAACACTGAACACGTTATCTAAATGGAAATCAAACATGGAAGTCATCATAGGTTCCATGCAACAAGATATCCCTCTCGATACAAGTGTTGTCCCTTGCGATAAACCAAATGAGATATCAACAGTTGAACAAATTGAGAGCTCTAAAAGGTCGACAAAAGAGAAGAAAAACAAGGGAAAACAAATACAGTCTTCATCATCTTCAGATCGTTCTCTAGAAAACTATCATATGCAAAGATACATAAAAATTAGAAATTTTATAGCGGAGAATCAATCTAGGTAATAAATCTAATTTTATATGTATTAGCTCAAATCTTCAAGTTCTCTTTTGATTTATTTGGAATTAATTAAAATTATGTCATACAGTACATACTTGGACGATGACAGTAACAATATCTTTGGAAGAGACATGTTGAAAACTCTAATGGATCAAACACAGGACATAAATATTGCTATAAGAAAAGTCTATGACTTACAATAGATTTTATTTCATAGTTGATATATATAATCTAATTTATATCTATTTATTTCATCAGAATATTGAGCTAGAGTTAAAACTATTGAGGCGGCTCATGAATGATGGTTGTCCGCCTGTTTCAAAAGAATATTGAATTATGGATTTCAAATTTGAAGCAAAATGTGCTCGTCAAATGATATGGCATACTGACACAGGAATGAGAACCACAAAAGGTGAAGTAGATGGAACTCTTATGCAAAGTTATATGAATAGCAACGCACCTATATTTGGTCGTCCTTGGAGGACATGCAAGTATATATTAATTCCGTGCTCATATCTGGGCAATAGCTGGTACCTTTTCGTTGTCAATATTCCTGAATGGAAATTCCAAATATATGATTGTAGCAATAACGTCCACACACCGGATCAAGTAAAAACACATGCATAAGCTTCATTGACTATGGTAGAAGCACTATTGAAAACAACTTTATCTTCTAGAGGAGATATAAGGAAATATAAGAATAAACAAATGAAAGAGGAGATTATACATTACCTAAACTGTGCAAACAATGGGTAAGCATTTAAGTGGCTTGTTTTTTAGCAGAATATTTAATTTCCTAAACTTAGTCATTTATTTTAATACTAAACTATTTCTTCCACAGGCCTAATTGTGGAATTTTTGTGCTCAAATATATAGAATGCTTTGTTTTGGGATATCCAATTGAATCAGTTTCGTCGGATAGGATGCGCATATATAGATGAAAGATTGCGGTAGATATCTGTAATAACGAATACTTTTTTCATCCCCGTAAGTCCTAATTGTAGTAGATAATCAGAATATACTGATTGAAATATTATGTAATAAACTTGTGTTTTTTACCCTTTCTTTTCGTATCTTATCAGTGACCCAAATAAATAAAGATATGTTGAACATGGAATATTATGAAGGACGTGTTTAAAGATAATGACCTGACCCTTTTATATGCACCATGTTTCGTACTAACAAGTAAAGTATAATTGAAACACATAATAACATGTAAAAATAACTAACCTTGTATAGTTTTATGTTATTCTCCCTGACACAAGATGGATTAGCAGAGAAAATATCCTCTTTTAGGCTAACAATAGATTGACAGTCCAATTAAGCAAAACTCGTAATTATAGACTTCTTAAGTAGTATGTATCAAATTCAAAATTTCAAGGTAGACTACATTTTTTGTGCAACAATTGTGTGATTTTATTTCATCCATTGGCTTTACTAGAACTTTTATATTTTCTCTTGTTCTTGCTCTAGATAAAGCGACATATAATTGACCATGCGAGAAAATAGGTTCAGGCAAATATAGTCCAACGAAATCTGAAGTTTGACCTTGAGTTTTGTTAATGGTTATTGTAAAACAAGGACGAATGGAAAATTGAATTCTCTTAAATGGTACCGTATACTTATCTTCTTCAAGTGGAATAAATGGAATTCTAAGTAAAAATACTTATTTTCCACGATATTCACCTATTCCAATTTCAGCTAAAATAACATTTCGTTTAAATTCTCGACAAATAAGTCTAGTCCCGTTACACAAACCTTCTGAAGGATTAATGCTTCTAAACAACATAACAGGATAGTTTCTTTTTAGTACAAGTTCATGTGAAGGGATACCATTTGGAGTTAGATTATTCAAAAAGTCCTCATGAATAAATCTTTCTATTTCATCAATTACTTCATCAAAACTAAAATATGTAAATATCTCTCCTGAAATTTTTTTAACTAACATATTATTTATTACATCCACATATTCATTTTTTGGAGTCAAAATAACTATGTTCATCATAGTATTCAAATTGTCACCATATGTGCGAAAATTAGGAAACACAATAGCAATTAGTTTTTTCAATGATTCAAATTCACTCTCAAAATCTATTATTACATCTGAAGAAAACTTAATCATGTGATATATATGTTCTCTTTCTATTCCATTTCCAATTCTAAGTAAATATTCACAGAACAAAGGATTTAGTTTAGCTCTCATATTCTCAGTCAATGGTAGTTGTATAAAATATTGCCATAAATCTGAAAAAACTAAACTGGCCTTCATGATATCATCTTTTGTTTCTCTTTGTACTACTGGCAACACTGATCGAAAATCTCCTCCAAACACAACAACTATTCCACCAAATGGCAATTCACATTCAGTAATATCTTTTCACATTTTATCCAAAGCTTCAAAAGCACATCCATTAATCATCGGTGCTTCATCCCACACAATTAGCTTTGTCATTCGTAAAAGTTGACCAAGTGATGATTGTTTACTTACTGAACATCGCATATCAGAACTTGCTTGAAGTTGGATTTTAAAACGTGAATGACCAGTTCTCCCAACCGGCAATAAAGAAACAGCCACTCCCGATGACGCTGTTGCTAATGCAACAAGTTGTCGAGATCGTACTATAACAAGTAATGCCTTGTACAGACAAGTTTTTTCAGTACCTCCTGGTTCATCAATAAAAAAACTCCATTTTTATTATTTACAACACAGTCTAAAATAACATTATAGGCAGATTGTTGTTCATTATTTAAATTCTCTATAAAATGCATGTCACACTAAACATTAATATTTGCAGTCTCTTCTAAAATCATATTTGCTAACACATCAGCATCATTCACAATTACGTCAAAATCTACCAGACCAAAATCATTTATATTTGTACCAAAAACTTCCAAGAATGAATTTATGCATCTTAAAGCCTTAATCTCGACATCACATACTGTTATGCTTGCATGTAAAAAAATCTTCTATCATGTACACTTTGAATTTAACCCATAAATTCCTAGGATTTGTAGGGCTGCAAAAAATTAACACATTAGCAAAGAGGCGACGCAATGATATAGGCATTTCATAGGTGATCGCCTCATTTAAAAATATTTCACAATAATTATTCCCACCTATGAGACCATGTAAAAATGCAGCTTCGCGATAAGTAGGCACAACAATGTTATTAACTGTTCTTAAATCTTGAAAAGACTTAGGCTCTTTAACATAATTCAATAAAACTGGATTTGTAGGGCTGCAAAAAATTAACACATTAGCAAAGAGGCGACGCAATGATATAGGCATTTCATAGGTGATCGCCTCATTTAAAAATATTTCACAATAATTATTCCCACCTATGAGACCATGTAAAAATGCAGCTTCGCGATAAGTAGGCACAACAATGTTATTAACTGTTCTTAAATCTTGAAAAGACTTAGGCTCTTTAACATAATTCAATAAAACTATTAGAAAGTATCTCTCGCCCTCAGATGGATTAGCAGCAACTATTCTACCAATAACATTTTGCTTCTTTCTAGGACTCCAAACTCGAAAATATGTATTCCATACAAAGTATGTAGGAAAATCCTTATAAAGTAAAGTTCGTGCCTTTTCATTTGAAATATTCATTCTAAAAAATTCAGTTAACATTGTTCGTTGAATGGAGTATTTATTTATAACTTCTGATAGATCATCTGTTTCATTATATGTAACCAACTGAGCATCTTCAATATGTAACTGCAAAGAAACTACAGAAGGAGATATGTCGAATAAATCAAAACTAAAAATTCTCCATATAGCTTTCGGTGCAGATATCCATCTAGCGGTTTGATAATTCGAAATCTTATCAACATAATGCTCATTAGTTTCTTTATTCACCGTAAAATTAACACGATCATGTCCTTTGTATACATATTTGTATAAACATTTGACTGCTTTAACAGAAGAACATATTTCAACATTAATGTGACAATCATACTTAGCTAAAATACAAGGATTGTATGGTACAACCCATCTATTATCTAGTACAGATCCTCTGACCTTAACAGTAACACCATCGTCACGACGCCTATAAAGTGATATGAATCACTACCTAATGAAGTATACAAAATGTATTCTCTTGGATACTTGTTTTTATAAGTATGGTTATTTTTTATGAACACATTTGTAGAATTTAATTGTTCACAAGGACCATACATCATATGTTTGATCACAGTAGCATGCAGGTGAGGATTTCTCTTTGGATCTGGAATTTCACAAGAAATAATTTCATCAACTTGTGTAGAATTGGTAATCTTAAAATTCGTTTTAAATAT